TTAAACATTTTGGCGTTTTTAGAAAATGATCTAAACTTCCTACGAGTAGGCCGAGTACTCGTACATAAATCAGTGGAATATTTTTAAACTTCCTACGAGTAGGTCGAGTACTCGTATTTAAATAAGTGGAATATTTTTAAACTACCTACGAGTAGGTCGAGTACATACTCGTATTTAAATCCAAGTACATTGCCTTAAACGACACAGAAGTGCATCAAATTATTGAACGTCATGTGAAGTCTGTATGTGCTTTAACTTTTCCTTACTAGTTACTTCCCTCCCTAATTTGCCTATTTTGTCATACGTTGAATACGCATCCTTAGAACTTAGAAGAGGACAAATTAAAGGCTTCAGCTTTGATGTTTTATTAATACATTTTGCAACAGTTTATGCAAACACATTTTACTAAAAGTATCGTTACTTCGTTACCCTCCCTCCCTTAACACAGAATAACATTCCATTTTTCACAGTGAATGACATACATTTTCACACTCTTTCAAGACGCGAGTGCCCATTATAGTTATTTCCCTCCCTCACCACTGAATTACAAACAATTTCAGCAAATTTTTATTACCTAACCCACAAAATTAACATAACATTGAGTCTATATATATAATTCATGATACATCAAAACGTAAACTCACAAATTGCATTTCTTCTCTTTCTTACTCTCTCTTTATCTCCATGGTTCTCTGTCATAACTGCGGCCGAGAGTTCGACAATGACAACAGTCTTAAAGAACATAGCAATGCTGCTCATCGTGATTGTAAATACGTGTGCAAATACTGTAATTCAAAATTCAAAGATGGTGCTCAGCTGCAAGACCACATTGATGGGGCTCATCGACCCAACAATCGACGACAACGACAAAATGTAAGTTTTGTTTCAATTAATTACTTTTTCTCAACTCTTGATGGAAATCATTTGATTGGGATTATACATAAAGGAATCGGTTTGTTTGATTAGTTTCTTAGTTTATCCTTTCGTTTTTTGCAGTAAGTTACATCCTCGTGAGCATGGAATCTCCAAGAAACCGTGCCTGCTGCTGCCACTGTGGATCCCCCCAATTTGGCCAAATTATCCTTGGGAAGTTGCAATTGCTATGAACTTAGGTGATTACGGATAGCAAAGTCTATTAAAATCTATTGTAAATGAAAAAAAAGGCATGGTTAAATAAAGCAATTGTGATACCATGCATAGTTATAAAATAATTTTATGAATAATTACTTGGAATTGAAAAGAAGTGGTGATACCATGTATAGTTATAATTTTATGCATAATATAAGGGCTCTTTACGTCAAACTTACGATTGATTTATATCAAGCTACTCTAAGTTGATTTATGTCAAACTTATATTACAATTAATATCAGGCTACTCTAAGTTGATTTATTGGAGAATTTAAATGAATCTATGATGTAACTAATTACTGTCATCTGATTCATATAAGCATGAACACAAATATGCAATAATAAGAGCAACTAAAACGAGCAATAGCAATAGCAGAGGTCGTAGTTATATCGATACACATGCATAATGCTACATTCTGAGAAATATCAATGTTAAGCCCAAAATTGCGTAGTCCTAGTAGTATATATTAGTCAGAATCATTAAAAGGTAGAAACTCCCATAATGCCATTCAGAAAATAAAATTACAATGTCGAGCGAACAATTGACACACAAGGTCTTTTTTAAAAAACAGTTGCTGAATATAGATAGTATCAGGTAGTCCACATCTAGAAATATGTAACATAAAAGAAGATGTTGACTGGCTGACTTAATTCACTTGGCCGGTGAGTCAGCTCTAATCCAAATACTTACTACTACAATATCATAGATTCACCCTTCTTAAATTGATATGTTCATAGCAATATGATACTCTATTTTATAGAAGAATCAAATAGCTTTGCTACATTGCTAAGCGCACTTCTAATAATAATAAGGGCGTTCCACCCAAATAGGTGGAGTGATAAAACAAAACTGCGAGGGACCTTCATAAAACCGCTCAATGATTTTCCCTTCGGCTAAGCTGTATATCCCCATATCGCTTCCTCCTCCCGACTGATATCCATAATAACTCTCTGTACTGTCATCAGTAAAATAGATACAATTAGCCTTACAACCGCATTTGTCCAAAGATGCATCTACAGAGAAGGTAGAAGATCCTAAGCCGACGAAGATGCCCACACCCTCAACTTTTTTTAGCTTTCCCATTGTCGACATCCAACTCATATATCTCAAATAATTCCGAAGGCTAAAACTTCACCTACATGATCGATGGCATAGAATACTCCTTTGAAAAAGCACACATCATAAACCCAATCATACATCGTTGGAATTATGGTCCATTTCTGTTCCCCGGGTTTCCAAACAGCCAAGCGTTGAAATGCGTCAAATATCATTGCAACTGCAACATCATCATTACAACAAGATGGCCACCCTGTTAGAATAAATTTGAAAAAGTGAAGTCTAAAACTTATGTCGTCCCATGGGTTATCCTCTAGTAGCAAGCTAAGTGAAACACTTGGTGGGTTTATCACTTTGCCGGAAACGGGATCAAAAAGGGTGATGTTACGGTTTCTCCTGCTCACAGCAGTAAGCCACCCCTTGGAAGAAAAAAATCTGTGGTGGTCATCATCTTCTAGTTGGGGAAGATCGAATTTTCGAAACATGTGTTTGGAGAGGCTGTAAAGTCTACGGTATGAACTGGTAGGAGAGTCAACTAGCAGAATTTGACACCCTTCAATGCATCTCTGCACTCTGAAGAAACTTCTGCAAGACTTTCAAAATCTTCCAAAGATTCCACGTCTTCAGTCGCAATCTTTCTAACTATTTCTTGTGGGATATCACTCCAATTTGCCATGCCAAATATTTCAAGTAAATATCCAACTTGGATTGACCTTCAAGCTATAAAAAATACAAACAATAAGGATATAAACTGTTCAAATATACTCACTTGTGAAATACAAGAGGACATGTAATAGGATCGCTAGGAATTTGCCTAAAGAAAACAAAATTTCTGGAACAATTCAAAACATGAATTTAGTAAAACATTCAAGGGATAAATAAAATCAAAAGTCCATATATTGACATTTTTCTTTTGAAGGAAAAAAAAAAATAAAATAAAAAATTATTATGGATTACCCAACTAAAAAACTAAAAAAGAAAGCCAATACTGTATAAATTGTCGTAATTTTTTTTTTTTAAAAAATAGTAGACTTAGCTCTAGCAACTACTATCAAATATGTAGTATCCCTTACAAACTACTCCCTCCATTCCTTATTATCGATAATGTTTGATTTTTGGCACTATTCATAAGATGAGATAATCTTTTAATTATTTCTCAATATATAAAATATAGTATAATCACATGGGTTTTGTTTGATTCATCTCAAGAAGTACTTCATTAACATTCAATCATTATATTAGTATGCAATGTAAGATATTATGGTCAAACAAGTACATTGGTAAATTTGCAAAGTCAAAACATATACCTATACTAAAATGGTTTTTAGAGGGAAATTTCTTTTAAACTCTATGGTTTTTTAATTTTATTTGCAAAAGCATTAATTTGCTTAAGAACTTTATTACTCCGTATTTATTTATTATTACTTATTGATTATTATAATTGGTTATTGAGTTACATTTCTCTAAAAAAAAATATCAATATTTCATAAACTATTAATTCTAAAAACTGATGGCTTGGGATTTATCTAGTTTATACTAATTCCAAATGAAAATTTTGCGGAAAAAGTCTGCTAATAACAGCTTTTTTTTTTTTTGGACTTTTAAAAGGGTGTTTGATTCGGGGAATATAAATATGAGGTATGGGTTTAAAATGATTAAAACTCATACCATATAATCTCAAACCCATGCAATATGGGGTTTAGTTCTAAATACACATTTTAAAACAATCAAACTTCAAATCCAACCAATTAAACTTATATCAATATCAATTCCCTTGATTCTGAAAAGGAAAAATAAATAAATAAACAAAGAAACTACAAATCCAACCCATTAACTTAACATCAATATCAGTTCATCTATAAAAATCTTCTCCCCCCTTTCTTCTAGGGTTTCTCCAAAATCTTGACTGTTTAGGTCGGAATTATTAGACTATTTTTGGCCCTTTCCCTTAATTTTCTTTAGTTTTGCGATTAGGTTTCAATAAATCTACACGAGTAGATACCAATTCGCGCGTCCGATTCAGAATTTAAAAAAATAAAACTTAAATCCAACGAGTTTTTTTTTTTTTTTTGAGAGAACTTAAATCCAACGAGTTAAACTAATATCAACATCACAGTTCGTCTCATTCTGTAAAAAAAAATAAAAAATAAAAAATAAAAAATAAAAAAAAAACTTGAATCCAACCAATTAAACGAATATCAATATGAATTCGTCTAATTATAATTACAAGAAAATAATTATGTTGTAACCAATAAAAGAAAATTAAGTAATCGGAATTAAAAAAAAAAAAGTAAATTGAAAGAGAGAGAACAAACCTTAGGAATAGAGTGCAGCAGACAGAACTCACAGAAGTATTGAAGATGGAGAGTTTTTTTTTATTTAATTTAATTTTTATTATTAATAAGATGAGGAAGATGAGGTTGAAGTACCGTATATATAATTATAAACTTTCCTATTTTTGTTGACGTAGATTTTGCATATAAATATTACTTCCGTTTTTATTAAATGCACAACTTTTTATACATGGAAGTTTAAATTTTTTTTAGGTGAATTACTTTTTCTTTTACAGTGTGTTTGGATAAAGAAAGGGGAAGGAAAAGAAGGGAAGGGAGGAGAAGAGGAGGGGAGGGAAAGAGAGGGGAGAAATTGAAAGAATGGTGAGTTTTCCTTCCAAATCTCTCCATTGTTAAAGGGATTAATTTCCTACAATTAGTAATACTATTAATTTCCAATTTTCTATATAAAAATTAAATTAATATTTTTTCATGCATATTTTTTCTTTTGCCTATTTTACTTTGAATTTGTTCTGAAAAATATGGCTCAAGGAACACTTAAAGTTGTTCTTATAAATGCCAAAGGTCTTGAAAATTCTGGTTATCTCAGTAAGTTGTGATTATCGATCTCTATCATAATTACCCCATGATTATGCATAAAATTTATACTTTATTTACATAGAGATTGGAAATGCAGTTCTTCACTCTTATTAGCTATTATTATATTATGTGTTTAACAATGGAGTAATACGCAGATAAGATGGATCCCTATGTGATCCTGAGTTACGGAGGCCGGACGCAAAGTAGCAAAATTGCATCAGGTAACCTAGATCTTCATAAACAAGTTAATTATCTTTATTTCGAGTTAAGAAAAACATCATTAATTCAATAATCAGAATGTAGATTTATTGAGTAACCTTTTATCAATTGAAGTTTGTAGACGAGATTTGATCTAAACTTTTGGATAACACTCAGAGGCAAAATTCAACTAAACTAGCTAGCATCCGCACCTTTCATTTATATATAGTTTATACTAATGATGTATGCATGCATTAAAAATTATTCTGGTGGTGCTGATCTTACCTTAAAAATTATGGACAGTGATTGTGGTACAGAAGATGATTGTGTTGGAGAAGCTACGTAAGTAACGAAAATGTCTGATTTTTGCTTAAGTTTACGCCAAATAACTCATTGTTAAGAGGCTTTCTAGATCAATATATAGGACTAATTTAACTACATATTGTTGTTGCAATAACTTTGTAACGAAAGTATACCACTAGAACCAGTCTTAGAAGAAGGAAGCGTTCCAACAGCATCATACAATGTCGTCAAAGGTCAAGAATTTCGTGGACAGATCAAACTCAGCCTCTTCTTCACCCACAAGGTAATAAACAATCTATTGTAATTATTCTCTAACTAGAGATGTCAAATGAGTTTTTTATTGGTGTAATAATATTGTTAATCCTCTGTTCATCCATAACCAGGCTCACGATCACGGGGTGGCAGCACAAGAAGAAAGCTATGGTGGATGGGGAGAGTCTCATTAGGCTGAGAAAAATTGTCTGCATTCAATCACTCTTCTTAGATATTTGCATTTTTTTAAGAATGTAATTCTATACTTCTAGTTTCTGAATGTCTTGTCAAAACAAAGAGCCCAGGAGAAGGCAGCTATATGATAAAACATTTTGGAAATGATTAAAAAAAAAATTATTCTTGATCCAACAGTTGGAGCAGAAGATGATAAAGCATTTATGTTAACAGATGCAGCTGCAATACAATTTTAGTCAATAAAAATATTAGTAATACTAAAATGACAACATACATGAGCTGTTAAAGACATGGTAATGAAGTGAAGAACCTCATAATCGGATGTGTACCATATACATACAAAGACTTGACTTGTAGCAATGCCGAGTTAAAACATACAGAGGCATTTTCGATCTGAAATGAAACAGAATCTTTTCAGAGTGATTGCAGGCCGTGAATCAGCAGCACACATTGCTCTTCCGATTCATCATAAACAAATACAAGGTTAGAGATAATGCAAATGGTTAGAACTTAACCTAGTTGAAACCTTTGGGTAAGATACACTGTAACTATATATTACAAAAAAATTTACAACAGACACCTACAGAGCAACTATGATTATCATTAATTCTTAACCTGCTTGATTTCTGGTGAGACAAATCCATTGGAATTTGGGATGTTGACGTCTTCAGGTAACTGGGGTACTTTTTTTGTTTCGTCACTTTTGCAGACACTAGGTGCACATACATCAGGAAGACACTGATTGTTATCATTGTCTTCTGAAGTGCGGAGTTGATGTTGGATATAATCCTGGATAGCCAAATTATCATCAAATGGTATTGCGCCTGTAAGAGTTTTAAATGCAAATTCCAGGCATGGATCTGACCACAAGGGTGGTGGAAAGCAGTATTCAAATTGAGGCCGTCCAATTTCTTTCTCAACGCTAGCCAGTTTCTCTTCAATGATTGGTCGCTCACTAGAGGTGTTCTCAACCTTGCTCCCATGTAAAGTAACCGGTGGATGCTCAAATGATTGCTTTATCTTAGCTGAAGACACTTCAACTTTCATACTTTCAGAGAAGCCTGGTGGAGCCTCCTCCAGCTGCAGATCACTGAGATCAACCAGAAGGGTTTCTTTTGCTAATATATTCTTGTCAATCTGGTTTGATGCTTCTTCATGAACAGCTGCAAGCACACTTTCTGAATCAACATTAAGTGGATAACGATTTTGTTCTTCAGATGTGAAGTCATCAATCATAATCAATGATTCTCCTTTAGTTGTGAGCACAGTTTCTGAATTAACATCCATTGTACGATGCTTTTCTTCTTGCGATGGCAAGTCATCAATCGTGTTTGTTGGTTCCCTGTGTGTTGTGAGCATACTAACTGCCTTAGCCACAACTGTCTGATGCTTTTCTTCTTCAGATACAAGCACATGTTGCTTATTAACATCAGGGCGCTTCTCCGGTAGCTCATCTGGGACCAATTCCAAACTAGGGATGGGTTTAGTTCTGGAGGGCTTTCTGCTTGTGGCCCGAAGAGCATGCTCAATGGGTATTGAGTGGAATACTACTTTAGCTTCAACACCAGCAAGTCGCTTGGAGGATCGCGAAGGCACACACACCAATTTCCTGGCATTTGTTTTCCTTTTGCTGGTTGAAGCTTTCCCATTACTACAGTCTTGAACAGAAAGAGGTACTTGGTTCTCCTCTGGCAATAAGTCCCTTGAAGGAGCAGGAGACTCATTCTTTTCAAGAGTTGAAACTTCTGAACCATCATCTTGGACTTCTGATGGGGCATGTTTGGTCATACTTGCAGAATCTTTGGTTCCAGAAAGCTTTTCCATTAATGGTTTTGCCACCAACTCTTGGGATTTGCTGGGTGATTTGGGTGACAAGGTACTCTGCTTAAGGCTAGAAGCACCAGCAGTGGCAGGTTTGCCTCTGGAGGATAACCTTCTGCTTTTCCTGCAATCCACTTTTTTATCGCCTGAAGCGTCAGGAAATTCTTGTATACTGTGCTTGCTACTTGATTCACCGGCAAAGAGCATATTTCTGGTCCTCCTCTTTGGTGTTTCTTCATGATCACTTGATGTCTAATAATAGCAGGCCCAAAAAAATCCAGATGTCAGAACAATGAAAATTTGAAAACCCATATAAACCAGATCAGAAACATAAAGCTCTCATATAAACATTATACTCAGCCTATTTATTTGTCAAGCTTCCTTTTCTGAACATCCTAAAATATTTGTCATGATTCTAAAAACAACACAGAAAAACATCTAGAATGTCACAGATCTAAATGATGATAAGGTCAATGTGAAAGAAAAGGTGGAGACATCCTATTTGAGTAATTTAATGTTTTACTTATTATTCTTCGTTCCTTTAATTTAAATATTAGTAGAAACAGGAATTTTTAAAATAATTCTGACAAGGTCTGTTAATAAGACTCACAACATAAATAGATCTAAAAAGTGCATGACCAATCATAACTAGCTAAAAAATGCACAACGCAGATAAATCTTGTTCTATTGCTCTCCACTAATTGGTGAAACTACTGGGCATTAATTAATATCAGAATAATAGTGGTGTATGTGTCAGGAGGAGAGGTGGAATGGATATAGTGAGAATGAAAGATGTTGGAAGCATTATAGATTTGACAGTATCAAAACAAAGGCAAAGGATTCTGAGAGGAACTTCATTGATGATGTGTTAAACATGCATAAGAGCCAAATCAGCATACCTTACCACTAATGTTAAAACTCGTTTCTCTCGTAATAAATTCAAACAGATAGAGTTAATACAAGTTCAGTAAAAATACTTTCAAAAGTTTAGTCAGATTCCAAAATGTTCAGATTAGCAGAAATGGGAAATAGATAAAAAATATATATATATAAATAGATTAATAAAATAACTGCGAGGAGAAAAATTGCTAAATATGATCTTTCAGAGAACAGACTTGCAAGTGGAGGTGGTGTGTTAAAGAGTAAGCATTTACATGTATGTATGTTCTGGTTATAAACCTTTCTCCATGATCTGCGCAGGTAATGGACAGTGATCTTCAAGTGATGATTTCAAAACAACAAATCTCAGTACAAATGCATAACATTACTGACAGTGCCATCAAGTATGACAAACAAAGATATCCAAAAAGTCAGATGCAAGTGACACACAACATGAAGAAACAACGATCATATGGACATCGGCAACCTCATACTCCTAATTCCTTAAAAACAAATGAGCCCCACATTCAAGAACCTTTTCTTTAAGGGGAGGAGGGGGAGGAGGCAAAAGTATATAGGACAGCAAACATTCATTTAACACAGCAGAAAGGAAGTTGCAGTAATCTCGGCAATATCAGAGGAGACTTACAGATGTCTTTCCATTTGCAGAATCTTCTCCAACAACGCTTCCAATTTTCCTCTGATATGCATGCCTGCTAATCTCTCCAGTCTCCACATAACGTAAAACTTCTAACTTGGAGCGGAAGACCAGTCTACTGGCAGGATCATTAAAGAACTGCAACAATTTCAATACAAACATTCATTACAAATTTACAATCCACAAGAAGCGTAATTTGAATAACATGCGTTATGAATAATGAGTTGTATAAGGATGGAATATATCACATTGATTTATACATCCCCAAGCAAATGCCTTTGAAGTAAAAAGGGAATCTATTTACCGGATCTCTCCTGAGTACTTTATTTCCAAGCATCTTAATTCTCGTTTCCTTTATCCATCCAGACGGCAAATCTTCATCCACAGTTCTCTCTGTTACAACCTAAAAAATTATCCAACAACACGGATATGGAATAGTTAAAAAATGCTCACAAACAATAACAGTTGCAGGCAGATGCCCCAAAATAAATGCAAGCAAGGCAAACCTTTAGATTTCCTGAAGAAAGACTCTTCCGAACACGTGTTTTTGAAATCTGTGACACCTTTGGCTCCAAATTGGATTTGCGAGCACTTACTGGATCAACTAACCTCTACAAAGTTAATGCATTTATGTAAGTAACTCTGAGGCAAAGCACAGTTACATGTTTCTTAGCACACAGAGTACAAAAGGCACTTTTTAAGGATTTAAATATGCATACATTACTCCATAATAACTGTGATTTCAAAGCAAAAACTCACTAATTAAAAAAAAAACAGTTATATCCTTTAAAGAGCCACATAAAACCTAAGAGACTCAGGAGAATTGTTTAAGGGGAGAAAAGAAGATATATAGCATGTTTCCTGGCAAATACACACATTTTCAATCCAAATTCCTAATCTAATTTATGGTACTACAGAATTCACATGGAACCCAAAGTCCTACACAATCATAAAGCTACAATATAGTATACCACAACAAAGTCAACACAACATTGCAAGACTGAAACATGGGAGAAAGAGTTTATATAGCAAGTTGCCCTGCAACTTTCATACATTTCTTTATTTTATTCAAGCCTCAAGGTCCTTAAAATTTGTTTTTACACAGGGAATGCATGCAATGACACTTATTCAGATTGTAACACAATAATAAAGCTGCAATACATCATAGTACGCAATATCAAATGAAACAAACCTTGTTGGAAGAGTGCCTGCTCCTTTTTCTGTCCTCCTGTTTAGATGTTCCAGCAATGCGTTGTTTCCTTTTAAGATATCGCAATACCTCCGGCTTTGAATAAAATGTTGATCCAGTTGATGGGTCGATATAACACTGTAAAGAGCTTTGAAGGTCAATAAGTTTCCCGTGACTTAAAAGATGAAAAGCTAACCAAAACTATATCAGCCCTCTTCTAGTTTTCTTGATTTACATATCACTAATAAGTAACTCAGCATCAAACAACCCCTTCAAGCAAGAGCCAGGCAAAGAGTAAAAGGTCCGTATTTTATTTTATTACGGGTGTGGAAACCTCTTTACAAGAATTAATTACCAATATAGGTACAAGAACCTGTTAGATACTGATAGTCCAAAGTGGCAAGATACAGAAAAGTGACAAGTAATAAAGTTGATAGTTCAAAATAAGCCAC